GTATTTGAGGCTTGCTCTCCACATAGCAAGCTAATGTCATCTAACTACGGTAACTACGGACTGTCTGCAGTTTCCACACTTCCATATCCATCAGAAAATATCAGGAGGGTTAAGGGTTGGACAAATAACATAGCTCCTCTGAAGGAGCTTGGACCGCTCCGGGGATCTTTCGCATTTTTATCCGTCCAACGAGATGGTGCCGACCCTCATCTCAAACATAGCCATCGATCATCAATCCATGCATACATTAACTGTCCCTCAGATACTGAGACGAGCATGAGAAAAGACCTGAGACGAGCCCTGAAAAGTGGCAAAGTCTGACAGTCAGTGCCCAGAAACTCTCAGACACTGCACCTGCGTTGAGGCTGTCAGTTTTGGAACAGTTGGTGTAGATGGACTGCTCGGCGGCTTCTGCTCTTTTCAATCAAATGCATCATGCATCTTGCTCCTTTTCTGGTGTAGTGATATCTGGAACTGTCATGAAGTGCCAACTTCTCGGAACCATTTGTTCTCCATGTCATTCGGAGGTTCCAGCTGAGCTCAACACTCACAGTTTTACAGCAGGCTACTTTTGTAGCGTCAATGGCAAGCATGGAAGGGCTGGTGGTATGAAGCGGTGTTTTTTCGAGGAAACAAGTGGACTCCTCATCTTTGACCCCGCAGCGCACCAGAAGAGATCTTCCCCGCTCCCCAGAACTTGGCCGAGTTCTGTCGAGTTCCAGCTGACTTAAGGAGCCAACAGCCTGTGGCTTACTAGCTGACTTTCTGAAATGTACCGATGAAAAAAAGACATGTGCGTCCTGTGTTTTGGAAGTCGCAGTTCCTGGAGAAGAAGGACTTGGCAATGGCTTCTCCTCGACTGGTGGCCAAAACTCACGTGTGAGATTCTTGGAGCTTAGGACCTGGTGAAGGTGGGGAAGTGTTCCAGGCCTCATATTGGCCCCTTCTGACATATTCTGAGCTCTCTGGCAAAAGTATCACGTTGCCATGAGCGTAACAAAAATGCAAAAGTCTCAGGAAGAACATCAGAAAACCTGCTGCTCTCCTCTCGCATCTCTCAACATTGGCAGTAGCAAAGGAAATGGCATAGCCACACAGGCCAGAAAGAGTAATCTATCTTAAATGGAGATCAAACGAAATGGTTTCTACATGTTTCTACGAAAAGAAATAAACAAAAAACACTTCACATTTGGATTCAACCACACGAATTTAGCTTGTTTCAACCACACCGGTGAAACGACCCAGGTCCAAGACCGCGGCTTCACCCCCGCGGGAGGAAGCCGAACCCCGAGTTCATCGTTCCGCCCAGACCGGGAGCCGAGACATGAGCTTTCAACAAGAAGTATAGTCTTAGGTTTGGGGGGGAGGCGAAAAAGATCTGTTTTCAAAACCACTTTCGACTTTCGAGTTGCCGGTCAAGATCTGTCAAATCAAAAGAAGATGGAAAGAAGAAAGTCAATGCAAAACAGCATCAATCACTCCATATCGCTCCATGAAATGAGGGCCTCCCCTAATTAGTGTCCATGCAAGGTTCTTTGTCCTTAAAGAGATTTATACAAGAAGAAACGAAAACAACATCAATCACTCCATATCGCTCCATTAAAATCAAATTAAAAGAGGACCCCGCCTATTCTTCCTACCATGTTCTGGTGCTTCAAAGAGCCACGTCGAGGGGAACGTCCATCCCGTTGCCTTGCCGCCCTCTCGAAGAGCCTGGGGCGGACCCGGTCCAGCACTCGATCCAACGAAGATATAGGGCGTCTGGGCGTCTGGATCTTCCGGTGTCTGGAACTCCAGATCATTATAAGTAGTATAGAAGGATGTATAAGGGTTAGTCTGACCATCTCGAGTTGGGTTGGGTCGTGTCTTTTTGTGACACCCAGATTGGAACTCAGGAACCATATATTAATGTTGAGATCTTCTCAGCAATAGTTCTTATTGACCATCCCCCTCTGCTTATGTTTCCGACTTCTTGTCGAGGTTGATTCGCGGTCAGTGAGACTCCACAGGCTAGGGCCGACATGTTCCATGCGCCAAAACATGCCACTTTCCAAGACCTTTGCCTTGAAGTGACAAGACGAGATCCAAAAACCATCAAAAACACCTGCATTCTTATGCCATTCCCTCTGTTTTTGTTCGAAGGCCCTATATTCTTCCAGTGCCTTTCAGTCGTTGTTTTCTTCTCCCTTCGGGGGTGACTCTTTTCATGGGCCCCCCCCCGGCGCTCTCGTCGTCGTCGTCCCGCTCGCTCTCTCCGTCTCTCCGCTCTCCGTCGCCCCATCTGCTGGTCGCCGGTCCTGCTGGATCTTCTGAAGCGGTGGCACCGTCTCTCGTGGAATCTGAGCCTCGGATTGCGTGGGCTATCATTGGCGAGGGTCCAGGGTGGGCCATGGGCTGGTGGAACCAGGGAACAACCGCGGAAGAAAAGAACTCTGGAAGCATTCGCCCTGCCCCAGGGGAGTGGTGGCTCCAAGTTCTTTCTTTTTTTCTGGAAAGCTTTCGAGGTGTACGATGGTGTATAAGGTCCAAGTGTGTCTATCATATATGTTCTAACATCATGGGCTTCCCGTGGCTTCCCTCTTCCCTTCTTCCAAAAAAGCATCCTTCCAGGGGTCCTGCATCACCTATAGGCATCGCTCGGGTGGCCCTTTTTGGTTTTTCCGGCAGCGCAACCGGCTGCCGAAGCCGCCGCGACCTGCCCAGGGACTGCAAGAGTGGTTCCATCCCTCTTATGAAGTGCGGACGTTTTGGGTTGATTCCTTCACCTATCTCATGTTGAACTTCCCCTGGGCAACTCTGCAAGCACCAGTCAGACTAATCTGGAGAATGATCAGGCCATGCTTTGAGCGCAATCCGCACTGGCCTATGGGAATGCTTCTTGGGTTGTAACAGGGTCAAGGACGGGGCCTCTAAAGTGACCATGTTTCTAGTTTTCATCGTTGTGAATTCCAGTTGTTTTTCTCTTCCCCTCAGATGACCATCAAAACCTTCGCATCACGAGAGCTCGAGAAGAAGCATCCACGTCAAGGCCACGCACGACTCCAACTTTCCAAGCCAGACACGTTCGACTCCAATTGGGAGGGCAGAAAGAAACAGCCTTCGGACCATAAAAGAAAGCAGCTTTCAGACATCGTCAGACTCTGAAGCGGAGCGAACCTCCTTTGCTTCATATCGTTTGAACCGTTGGACCGACGTCGCCCGACGGAACTCGACGGCCAACTCAACGGTGATCTCTGCATATCTCTGCCACCTGCGACCGCGACAAACATGCCAAAACGACACTGTGAACTACTAGCACCCGACTCTACAGGTCACCACCTGCCACCTGCCACCACTTTGTGCTGTCTCCATTTCGGAGACCTGTTGGAATGTGCTGGAATGAATCGAAGTATACCCCACATACCATCCTCTCTTCACCCGGTCCCATCAAGATCTCGTCTGCGTCTCTTTTTCTGCCCCGTCGCATCTCGACGCTTTCACAGAGTTCTAGAGTTCCGCTGTGTCTTTCGTGAGGTCATGTCAGAGACATGCTGTGCACAGCACTGAGTCAAGGATGGTTGCACACTTTTGTGTGTGCCTGTTGCTATGCACAGGTTATTCAAGTTTGTCCCACAAAAAGAGCGCCACTTTCACCAAGGCCACCCTTCACAAGACGTGGATCTGGTGATGTTCATTTACAGTGCATATTAGTTGACGAGGCACGAAGAGGAACTTTTCAAACATACTCGCTTTTGTGGGGACAACTTGCAGCCGACTAAACCAATCTAAATATTGGTCAGTTTAGCACCCCGAGCCAAGCTGAAGAACTGCCAGTTTTGGCGAATTCAAGCTTGTCAAGATATCTAATTCACAAATTCGATGATTGGTCGCACGTTTCGTGCTGTAGATTGATGTAGATGGCTAGATGGCTTACTTCTTCATCCAGCACCTCAGGAAGAAAACCTTCTCATCCTCATTCACGCGCATCAAGATGAACACTCACATCATCCGGGGCCACTGGATCCACCGCCGTCCGTTCCGGCTGAAGAAGTCGTTCCTTCCGGGCCGTCCGCGCGGCACAGGCCACGGCGAGGGTTCCCAGCACCGCTCCGATGAGAACGGCGACCAAAATGTATCCTGCGGGGCCGAACGGGCCGAGGAGTTCGTTCCGTTTGGACACCACCCGCGGACTTCGATATGTTGGTGATTCTGGCCACCTTGTGGCCCATTCCTGCTGGTCCTCAGCTCTACTCTCAGCTCTTTATCTCTATCTACCTCACCTATGAATCCTCACCTCAATCCACAGCCGAAGCCAGCTGCGATCCGTTTCCCGCGCGCTCGCTCCTGGTTCCTCACCTGGTTCCGACTCCTTGATCGTCACCACGGTCCCGGACTCCTCGAAGGTACTCAAGACACGACCGGAGCCGCCTCTCGACCGCGCCTTAGGTGCGACCTGCCAGGGCGGAGCCGGCGTCCACTCAACGGATGGCCGGTCACGGTCACTGGGAGGGTTCCAAGACTCTCAGCGCCGGTTACGCCGTTCGGATTGACGTGGACAAGACATGTGTATGTCTAGTCCTTTATAGTCCCACCACAGTGCGGAGCGGAGCGTTAATTGAGATATGTTATATTGGCGATGGCATAGTCTGGGGGGGTTGTAGAATGTTCTAGAAGTATCTAGAAGTATTCTCAGAATCCACCCGAATGGGTGGTACTGGACCAGTCTCTTAGATTTAAGGGTCGTTGTTGCAATTTATTGCCTGAGACTGTGGCGTTTCATGACCTTGCCAGAAATACAAGAGGCATGGAGCTCTGAATTGGCTAGATCTTCCTTCCGTAACTACACACTCCTCAACGTCTCCCAGGAGCCAAAATACCATTCACAGCGACAGTGGCCGAGGAGAAGTGGGGGAATTTGGGACCCATATGAAGAGGTGTTTCAATCCAAAAGGGAGGGTTATGAAATGTTATGAATAAATCAAATCTCTTACACTACACTAGGCGGGGTATACCATGAATGATCAATCAATGATAAACCTTTGCCTTTTTACTGTGACCCCACCCCTACCAGGGTGCCTGTATGTTCCTCGTCCCCCCCCCGCAACCCGGTTGGGCTGCAATTCCACCCGAGACGGCAAACACAAACACAGCGATCCCCGACTTTTGGGAGACATCCCCTGCACGCGGAATTCGGCGGTCGGAGGGCCGGCCCTTCGGTCGGGCGGGGCGGTGAGCGGGACGGCCGTTCCGCCTGCTGCGGCTCTCCGATCAAAGCATGAAGGTCGGTTAGGGTCGTGAGGCCGTGAAGACGGTGTGCCAGAGCCGCATCGAGTTTTGCCTGGCCATAGTGGTTACTTGCTGGTGGTTTGGCTGGTGGTCCTCGTTTTTTGAGGAGATGAGTGGTCAGGTCGATGCGTTTTAGGGGGGAGATCCGGAGAGATCCCGATGGTGATGGTGATGTATAGGTTCAGGGATTGACCAAAAAAAAAGACGGCAGGGAGAAACCCCAATTTACACCGATATCTAATTAATATGATTGGTGGGTCGGAATCGCTACACGGGCTTAGTAATTCAGTTGGGCGAACCTTAAATGCTGTGCACCACTATCCACCACCAGTCTTCTCGGAGGGAGGTCTTTTCCAACCAGTGGTCTGGTCTGGATTCGAAGCAAACACGTGCGGCGAATCCGACCTGGTGCTCTGGTGGTTCATGACTCACTCACCTTCATCCCTTTTCCCAGCCTGATGATGGCCCTGGTTCAATCGAATCATCTTCGCTTCCACACGATCCAGGAAATCTTGCGTCAGCTTTGGATGCAATGCAACTTCTCCATCAGGAAGGACTTCGAAGTGTACCAAGAGGCACACGGGATGGGAGTCGAGCAAATTCCCAAGCCTGCGGAAGCAAAGCAGCTGTCAATATAGGGGCTTCAATTTTCGAACCTCTCTTCTACAGCATTCTAAGTCGAAAACAAATGAAAACAGCCTTTGAACACCCTCCCACTTCCACACTTGATGCAACTGGAAACAACATAATTTGGGCTCACAGCTCCAACGGTTCCAATGTCTTGGGTGGCCAACCATGTGCTATATAATAGGAGCTGTCCCAACCAAATATGTCCAAATCACAAACGACCACATCCGCACGTTCACCAAGAAAGGTTCGACACATGCAGTGCTCTCCCTTCACCGATGGGACTAGAGATGGGATGATGAGCGATCCTCTAAGGGGCTACGGGCTGCACACCCCCTTGGATCCCCTTGGGGAGAGGCCCTGGTAGAGGAAATGCCTTTCTTCTGATCAACCCCCTCATGAAGAACTGTCAAAGGCCAATCGCCTTCACTGCCAGTCTCAACAGCACCAGGCTGAACTCTCAACCTTCACCACCCTTCACCTCAACCTTCACCACGCTTCACCGCCCTTCCTCGCAGCCTTGCGGCGACCGCACACTCGCGCGACTGCGGTGAGTGTCACCACTCGCGCCTTCGGGTGCCGGGCTCGGTGGCTCCTCTCTTCAACGTCTCGCAGGCGGCACGCTCGCCCTGGGCGGCGCAAAGGCAGAAAGGGGCGAGGGTGGGCGGCCGAGGGGAGGTCTACGGGGAAGACGGGGGTTTTCCATGGGGATTGACCTTTCTTGGCTCCAGGATAGACTAAGTCTTCTTAGAAAATGTAAAAAAGGGATGAAAAGGGGATGGTGGCATGATGTGGCATGTTGCCTTCATGATGAGGCTAGTCTTTTCCTACATCTCTTGCAACTGTCCCCTGTTTGTAGACCAGTTTCATGAGCATAACAACGTGACCACATGGTCAGGAGGGTTGATTCTGTGCCCCTGGGTCTAAAGTCCAGAGTGGCTCTCAACAGAGTTAAACTACTTGCAAAGGTTCATCATAAAAGGAAACTTGGTGCTTTCTTCATGTCGTCGGAAGGACCCCCTATTCCAAAAGGAATCATAGGAATTCCGCCATCATCAACATGTCCGCCGCATCGTGCACTTCCAAGTGCTAAGCGTGTATGAAACTTCCCGCGCACCAAAGACCTGGCGCCGCGCAACGAAAACATCGCCCGGCCAAACGCTGGCCTGTGTGAGTCTGAGCTGAGCGGTGTCCAAGCTCAAGACCTCTGCCAGAGATGACAGCAAGGCTTGTCGCAATTCCAGGCTCGGTGGGATCGTCGTGCCACTCATCTCGCTGGCATCGGAACTCACGGGCAAACCTGCGCGGTCGAACAACACACGGTGAAGGGGTCGATGAAGGGGTTGCAAGTGTTGGTCGAGTGCCTAAGGCACCGCATCTGCCCGGGTCGCAGCTGACTGGGGTGACGCGTGCCCTTTTTTTGCGCGGGGGAAAGAAAAGAAGGTGCGCGGGGAGTTCAGCGCTCTTCAGCGGATTCAATCATCTGGTGCCCTTTTCTTAAAGCTCACTGGAGGAGCTGGGCTCGTCCTGTGGCGAAGGACATTTGTTTTTGTTGTTCTTGCCCAAAGGAAAAGTCTGAGTCCCCTCTGCCATGTTAGTTATTATATGTTATTATAAATTGTTTACTGTAACATGTCTATCATTGTCGATGCCTTGGTCGATTGGTCAACACTGCAGGTATGGCCAGGTTGGATGAAAGCTCGCAACCTGTGACAAAATCCCACTCGTCACAAGATTACTGACTGCATGATGCCTAATTAGTAGGGAATGAGCGAATGACCTACAGTGACCCACACCTATCTATACCCTTAGGATCCATTCCCTTATTCCTCACAAGTCGCAGGAGTCAGATTAGATCAGATTAGGCCCAACCGGCTCAACACCTTCCCGCCTGGAATGGTCAATGATCCCTTCACCTTCAAGGCCATCTTCGACGTCGCTGACCTCTTTCCGCTCCCGGAGGACCTCGACGACTTGCTGAGGCTCTCTGCCGAGTCGGGTTCATCCGTCGACTCGCTCCACAAGACCTTCCTCTCATTCCATCTGCGTTGACCATGGTGGAGCCACGGCTCCGTCTCCTTCTGCTCGCTTGGACTCAGCGAACGCCCGTTCGCTCCGGTACGCCAGGAAAAGCCTAGATCGCTGGTGTCCACAAAATCCTCGAAGTCAAGATGAACACCTGGCAGGTTGGGAGAGAACGCATGCAACCACCAGGGCCCCTGTTTAGGCCTTAGACATTTAGATAAGACTAAACAATTACATAGGCGTCCGTTTTTGAAGCGATTGAAACCATGGATTCCGCAAAAGTGGGGCGTGTCACATGAAATAGGCCCGACCTCTAAACCCCTGTACATCCCGACCACACCTTCTTCCATCTCGACATCATCGTAGGTGCTCACCACAATCAAACTCCGCTGATATGCTTCCAGGCGCACATGGAAGGAGAAGATGATGGGCTCCGGAAGTGGGGACACTCGGCCCAAAATCTCGTCCTGTTTGACTTATTTACGTTTTGCTGCGCGTCCGTGTTACCGGTCGCCACCGATCGCCGGTGCTTCAGCCCGGTCACCCCCCGTTGTCCCTGCGAGTCTCCGAACCACCCCGGGATGTTTCTTCACCACTCCAGGAAGAGCTTCAAGCGAAGAGAATTCTTAAGCTGGAAGCATCGGAGCCGTAAACAGGACTTGCCCCCCAAAAAAACTTCACAAGATATGGACACGGTTAGCAGCAGGAACGTCTTATGTGTGGGAAGCTGAAAGATGTGTGGTCTAAAATGATCGAGTCAGCAGAATTCGACTGTAGCATACTGTAGCTGTAGCTTGCAGGATTGAATTTTAAAGAATTGATTTCTTCTTTCCAAGATGAAGTTTGCCCTGTGTAGGCGCAAACATGTCGGCGCAACTGATATTGAACATCTCCGTACAGCTTGAGTCGTGTGCTGACGATGTTCTTTTGTGGATGATGTGTGATGAGTGACAGAGGCACGCAATGGCATGCAAAACGCCTGCAACATGCACGAAAACTTGACAGGCCTTCCTTCAGGCAAAATGGAGACAAACAAACAGAGAGGGAGAGAGAGCGAGAGCACGAGCAAGAGAGGGGGAGAGAGAGAGAGAGATAGAGACCGAGAGACAGAACTATGCAGCCACTCATGCCACCAGCCTTTTGTTGGCACACCGGGTGTTGAAGAAGTTTGTCCGCCAGAGGAGAGCTTAACTAGCACCGAGGAGAACTGACCGAAGGAAAGAAAAAACCGGCAATCGTCCGAGGGACGAACTGGCACAGAAATAACACATGGAAGTTTGGCAAAAGAGCTGAGAACTTAGTGTACTTGAAAGAATCTGGGTGGATGAAAGGTAGCGAAAAGGGCATCAGCAGGAAAGAATTGAAGACAATGCCAATAATACATATTAGAATTCTATCGAAACATCAGCAAGGTCTAGACTTCCAACCCCGAACCAAAAAACACCCCACCCAGCCCAGGGCTGGGTCTCGTGTCGGGCGTGTCTAGTCTAGCTCCTTCTTGGTGCCGTTGCCCAAGTAGATGGTGTAGGAGGTGATGCCAGTCGTCACCGGTGCCGCCGTGATGTAGACATCCCCCCTCACTTGGTCGGCCACCGGATCAGAGTCCCCAGAGAAGGTGGCGTTCAAAGGGGCACTCCTCACCTGATCAAAGGGCGGATGAGATGTTCACAGAAATGACACAGTTGTCTTGATGTGTCCTTTTTTAACATGTGTTTAAACATTTTTTTTGAAGGGGTGGCCTGCATCAGAACCATAAAGAAACCAGCAATGAATAGCAATAACATGTAATAATTCAAAGTTTATATGATAGCCCTTATTTGCCTGTTAGAAGGATACCCAATGTGGGAGAAGCAAGCATCACTAGCATCACTTGCTCAGAAATTCCAAGTTACAATGTCGAGCAAGGGAATCTGCGTCTTTGCTCCTGCGACTTCGACATAAAGCTATTCAAGAGTAGGCCCAAGGAGGAACTTGCTTGATACCCGCTCAACATGGAAAATTCCCGAACTTGGCCAAAAGTGCCCAAGAACTTCGAGCTTTGCAGAACAGAAAGGGCCCCCCCCCCCTTACGACCATGTAAGGTGTTCTGGTTGGGCCCCCTGCTTGCATCGATTCCAATTCCGCCCAGGGGTCATTCAACTCCATAGACTTGGAACGTGTTTTCGTTCCGTTTCGGTCCGTGCCGATGTTGGCGTCCGTGGCGAAGCCTTCCCAAAGCAAAGCAAGGTACTGTAGACTCGTTTGACCAAATCACACCCCCGAGCATGGATTTAAAAAAATGGAAACCACTGCAAGCCTGGTGGGTTGAAATATAGTCGCATCATAGTCTACATATGTGATCTATAGTCTTAAGGGTCAACAAAAATCGATCTTCACTCTCCAACCAACTGCCCGATCTGCACGAAATCTCGCTCAGGCGCCGGAGATCCAACCCGGGATCTACTCCAGATCCCACCCCGAGACCACCACTGTGCATGTTCCTCTCCTTCTCCATGGTCATTCCCCGAGACCACCACGATCGTGGTCGCCGCCGCAGGCTTCTGGGTGTCAATGTCAATGTGCAGCATCTGGTCACTGCTGTCCGGCGCATCCAACTTCCAGGTAAAGTCTGGCGGGCGCTAGGGGGTTCACGGTAAGAGTCAGAAATCTGATTAAGAAAGAGGGTAACATACATCTAATTACACCGGCCTAGGTGGTTTTTTCTGTTTTTCCAGATAAAGATACAGTATATACTGCAAAATCCCGATAATGTATTTGAATGTTGGGGTTCCTAGTGGGCAAGTGGTCTCAGCTTTGTCATTATAAGAGTCAATTAGACAAAGATCGTCAAAGAAAAAAATACAATAACTGAAATAGTCGAACTAAAGACTTCAGGCAGACTGGCAGCACAATGGGCAGCTTCTCCCTTTCCAATACAGGTTCATGTCTGGCTCGATGAAGTCTTTTTCTATCTACCCGGCATCCAACAAAACATTGAATCTGAAAACAGGTTCTCTCCGCAAACAGGTGCTTTCTCACGTCCATGTTTTGTGGGGCGAGGGACATTCACTCTTCTGCCACCCGGTCTCACCAAGAAAGCACAAGAAAGCACCAAGAAAGCACCGCCGCATCCCACTTTGGCCGCTATTTAGTAGCTCAGCGGGAAATAGCCGAATAGCAAACTGGACCTTTAACGGATCCCATTGACATGCAACTAAGCCAAGCATCAAACCGGTTCTGCATTTGGATGCGTTTGGGTCAGGCTCGAAAGCGCGCTGAATTGGTCTCCTTCGCCTCCCCCGTCCCCGCCTGGCAGCGCCGCGCCCTGGGCATCGGCAAAGTAGACCCGGTAGAACGTCACCGAGGATGAGCCGTGCTGGGGTGGCCAAAACTCGATCTTCCCGGTCATCCTCAGTCCGTTCACGGAGGCCAAGGGCCGATGAAGGACAGCGTCGTTTTCGAAAAGTTTTGTGCCGGGTCTTTGGTTTCTTTTGGAAGGCTTGGCAACTGGGGGACCGGCCCGAAGAGGGTGGCCCTAGGACTGGTGGGTACATATGATGACATGTCATGTAATGAACACTATAGTGACGATTCCATTTTATATCTTTCATATGATCTCCGTTTGCGGTGCGAGGCAGGGTATGTTGGCCAAATTCACCCAAAAAAGTGTAAATTAGACACACAAACACACATTTTGCCTGCATGGATGATTGCAAGGCATGGCAGTGCATGGGTGCGCATGGCACTCTTGGGCATTGACATGTTTCGAGGCACGCTCTTTGGAACTTGTTTGAGGGCACCTAAGAGACTTCCCATGACTTCCCCCTCTAGTGGCTCTAGTCTATTTCCCCCCCTTGAGCCAGGAATCCCCACAAATCCCGACCATTTGGGATGAAATATGATGAAATCCCACGGCCCGGCATGAACTCCCATGCCCCAAAACGCCAAAACGGTTGTGCATCAAAATTGAAATACAGAGACCTCCCGCGGAAGGCAGCCATCCGGCAGAATCGACCAGTCTACCCAGCCAGGGGCAAGAGCCAGGGTGTTTCCCTGTTCCCTCTACACCCAAACCTCCGGTTGAACCCAAAACCACCCAGTTCTTGCCTCTTCAAAACACACCTTCAAAACACACCCCCAAACCACCCCATATACAGTAACCACCCTACAATGCAGAACCAGCCTATATACTTATACTACCACCAGTCCCACTACCCAGTCCCACCGCCGCGGACCGCGCAACTGCGAACGCTGCGAACCGCCCAAACAACCCAGGCGCAGGTCTTGCTGCACGTTGCCGTCCACGAAGCGCAGGTCCCGCGCCGTCAGCGCCGCCGAGGGCGGCATCGTCGAGGCGTCGAAGTCCTCGAGACGTCCCAGCGCCGGAGCCGCGCCTGGGCGCCACGACGGGTCGGTCTCCGGGCGCCCGACTGGTCCCAGTGACATGAGTATAGAGGAGGGTGCGGAGAGGAGGGTGCTAAGGGGAGAGGAGTGATAATGATGAAGATTGCAATGCTGGAAAACACAACTTCACACCGATTCTCAATCTTTCTCAGGGTGATCATATGCTATAATTATAACAGCTGCTATGAACCCGGTTGAAACGCTCAAAAACGCCAAGCCTTCCGGTGCCATTCCGAAGAACCAGAAAGGACCCCTGTCAACGACCGTCGGTCCACCCCCACCACACGTCGGTCACCGAATGTCACCGATGCACGGCTCGTCGTCTCCAGGGCCTTCGGTGTCGTCGAAGGCTGCCACCACGGAGAGCTCCATGACCGGCGGCTCGATCGAGGCCAGCTGGTACTCGGCCGTGGTCCCTGGTCCCGTGGCTACGTCCGTTCCCGCGGGCTTCGAACGGTGCCGTGCGGAAAGAGAGACGAAGGGCTGCCCGGGGGGGGGAACAGACTGCCTGGGGAATTGGATGGGAGAGGTTCGTTCTGCCGGGTGCGGGGATAGATTGTATCAAGTTGATCTGAGGTCGGCTTTGGAGATCGTTCAACTTAAACTGAATTGATCACATGGGTATGGCCACATGTACTATGCTGCTGCGTGTCCTGGATCAACTGATCCACCTCAAGCATTCCAAGATCAAAGCATCCAAGACCTTCCCTCGTTTGGGCCAAAGAATATGGAATAGGGAAGAATTGGTCTAAAAATTGTCTCAACAATCGGAAGCCGACACCATTTCAGGGCATGCTGCATGTCGCATGTGTCGTCTCAAAATACGTCGCGACGGTCTCCGAAGGACACACTATGTGAAAGTGGACAACTGACTGATGATACAGCTTAAACCGGAATGTGGGAATGGATTTCTACAACATGATTTATGCGATTTATGCCATCTCTAGCTAGATGTCCTGAATACAACATGATGTCATGGGATTCATTCCCTCAAAAATGGGATTAATTCCCTCAAAACCCGCCAACTATACAGCCCCTTCGACCAAAAATATCCAAAAATGACATCCCAAAAACACCACCCCTAATACCTTGCAGACGCTGCCCACGGCGTGCGCGTCTGGAGCGCGTGGTGGACGAAGCCTGTGCGAAGCCTGCTCCCACGCCCCCGCCTTTCTGGTGGAGCTCCAAGCTCCATCCCTCTTCGGTCTCGCTGCGATCACTGGACCAAGTGATGCTGTGAGGCCCAGCCTCCTTGGATCAATGGATCGGTGGCAGTGTTCGTTCGAGGACGGGTAAAGAACGTGGACCTGAGGGTGTTACAGGTCATAGACCTCTTTAAAACAGACCTTTAAACCTGTACGGGGCCTGGATTTGAACATAAAACAACACGTCTTCTCCACTGGCCCTGTGGTATTTGTCCAGCAACATGGCTATAGGCGTCTCCACTCGTCGTGCGAGCATGAAGGGACCGTCAAACGCCGCTCCGCTCCCTGAAATACTCATAATATGGTTTAAGTGGTTTAAGTGGACAATGCAGTCGATTTCGGATGACCCGATGACGGACCTCCGAAGCCCAAACCAGGCTTTTGGGGGTGCCATCCGTGCCCATCCATGATGAGTTCAGGGAGTGGTTTGGATGTGTGCGGATCATGCCAGATCCATGTTACCTTGCCCAGTTGGCCCCCAAAGGTCTTAACTTCTTTGAAGGCATAAATACCAACACCTTCAAAGGCGTCACCAATGGAAGCCCCTACACTGCCTAGGGATCTCCATTGGACACCCCTTTGAAGGTCCAGGTTATATATATTATATATACCCGCTTCAATCATCTTCAATCGGCCGGGGAAAATGCCTGGTCTGTCGTTCAGACATGTTCGGACCCAAGCCAAGCGAAGCCAGCGCCAGCTTGCGCAGTCGCGAACCTCGCGATGCCTCGCGATGCCTCCGGGTCTCCAACTTGATCTTCATCGGCAGTGCCAGCTTGGTGCCCGTGAGTTGCATATCATCCACCTGGTCTGCATGAGGAGGAGTGGAGGAGTGGAGTGGTTTTGGATAATCGGATAAGCTCCACGTATTTGAAGTGTCAAGTATAAACGAGTCAGTCTACCCATTGGGGGCGGTCAGCCCAGTTTCACACAAACCCATATTTTGATCCTGGAGCTTCAGAGAAAGAATCTGCCAATGATGCAATGTATTTGCTGGAATTTTTCCATGACTCCAGCCAACGTTCGTCTCCTGCTACTCACAATGTGTGTTATTTCTGACTGCTCAAAATAGACCAAGGAAGCAGCTTGAAGAACATGTAGCATCTCAAGGAAAGAAGCGGGTAGGACATCATCTTTGCAACATCTTTAAATTTGTCTAATTAGCTGCAACTCCAAGAAAAAACAGAACACAAATGCCTCACGCCCGCCATGAAAACCTCACCTAGTCATCCACCTCTCAAACCTCGCTCAATCCAAACGCTCCCATTCCTTCCGCTCCATCCCTCCCCACCTCCAGGAAGTCGTAGTACTTCTCCGTGCGGAAGCGCGTGACCACCACGGTGGCTGGACCGCTGAAGCTGATCCTGGCGCTCTCTCCGTCCGGGTCTGCTGCGCAGGGGTTTGCTGCGCGGGTCAAGGAATTGACGTGGTTTGGCATGACACCCAGGAAAAAAGAGAAAGAGAGAAATACAGCCGTCACGGGTGGTGCACTGAATTCATGATCCAGAACTGACGTCAACCTTCCACATATATCCAGATGCAGCCAACACTTGCTAGAAGATCGCTACTTCTGCTCAACGCGAACTCCTGGCACAAGTTTTGACATCAGCCAAATGAAAAAAGCTTCTTGAGTAGACAATGACCACCTCAGTCTAGCTAGCCCAGGATGTTTAGCTGTTGGCCCCTCAAAACGAAAAAACTGGTAGGAACTCAGAACGGTCTCACCGTAGGGACCTGAAAGAAGCACCACCCGGTGTGCCCGGTCTTGGAGGAACCCAATGCGCCGGTCGGGGTCAACGAATTACACTCCGTGTAGAACACGGTCACCGTGGACGGAAAACTGATCCCCTTGGAAGACGAGTCAAACATGGCTGCCATCGAAATCCATGATGTATTCAAGGAGTGTGGTTTGGGGGGAAGTGGAAGGGAGAAAAGCGAGCCACGGAGACACGGAGACATGAGAATGCAGTCTCTGTCGCACCAGGGTCGAGTCTTCGATCCCAATCCACTCACCACCGTCCTGGCCATCTCGTTGTTGTCGTAGGCTTTCCTTTCGTAGACATAGGTATCACCACTCACAGCCATCTCCTGAGGGGCAACGGTTTTTTTGGGGGGGGCACCGAGTTTCGGGGCAAATGGTGCCAGGTCTGCCAAAGGCTCTGTGGTGCTCAGAAAGCTTGGGTTCTTCGGTTTCTGAAAGGTTCATGATAATATGCTTACTTGGAAGATCTTGGCAGCATCCGCTTCTGAGCATCAAGGGCAAAACACTATCGTAGGAAGAAACGCGCCAGACTACAACAAGGAGAACTGGAATTCATTCATCACAAAATCTATCAATTGACCAAACATCCAGTAAAACATACATGTCACACCTACGAATACAAATTATAGATATCAAATCTTCTCTTGTTTCATGCTTTCTTGGAGATGTTCTAGAACTTAATCCCATGTGAGAGTCAGATTGATCTTAACGAAATGAACATTCACATACTTTGAGTGGTGTTCTTCAAGACCTACGACGTCGTGTCCCGGTCCTTCTGACCATGTCTTTACCAAATTTGAACACCTAGGTGTTCTGAACTTCAGTGACCTATGCTGTATGTCACTGTATCTTGACACCAGGAACACCGGGCTGTTCGCCATCCCCCTTTCAGCTCAATGTTCTGAACCGGCTTCGGTCGGACCCAGGAGGTGTCAGGGTCTCCCCCCCGACACCTGACACCAAAATGGTCAGACCTGCCCGGCATGGGTCAGACCTCCTTGGGTTCGGTTCGAGACCCGTCTACCCCAAAGAAAACACGACGTCTGAGACGATTCCAGGTCTCCAGCAACTCACAATCGCCTTCACAACTGGGCCTTTCGAAGCCGGAGGCCGGCACCTGCGGAGGAACGACACGGACGGACGCCAGACGGAACACGGAATCATCACGTGGCCGGGTGGAACGGGATTTGAACGATCTCGTCCATGAGGTGGGTGACTTTAACAGGCGAACGAAAGTCCCATCATTTTTCTTTCAACAAGACGATCAAAACACATCATCAAATGTATTTGTGTTGGTTTGATGGTCATGGTATTTAAATGTATTACAGCCAGCTATCTTCTAGACTCTAGATGATCTGAGACGAATTTACGGCCTAAAGAGGCCCCTGGTCTCTGTCATTTAGCATATTTTGCCAAAACGCTTGGCTTCAGCATGGCAGTTCTACCCTTCCAAAAGCTATCAGCAACAGACTGCTACTTGAGGAGAGAAACTTGCAACAGTTAAAGAAGTGGCTATGAGTTCAACACATTCCAAAACCCTTCAACCAATCTTAATGTAGACTCTTGAACTAGTAAACCACCCCTTTTGAATTGGAAATCCTCTTGGAGGGGTTATTACAGTATATTACAGCAATTAAGAGTCTCTACATTAATTAACATCTCCTCCCCAAAGCATTCCACCAAGCCTCCCAAGGCTAGCCAACCGCACCTTTACCCCCCTTTTTCCTCCCACCACCCGACCCTCCCGAGGCTTCAACCCCACCTTGCCCAAGAAGCCCGTGGTCTCCTCGGCCGCGTCCGTGCCCTGCGGAGCGGCCAGGGCCGCCGCGCGGTGCCAATAGACGTTGTAGTGCGTCAGCGACTTCTCGGAGCTGGCGCGTCGGAACTGCAGCGCGCCCGCCACGAAGCCGGGGCGCCCATCCGCATCGCCCAGCCACTGGGCACGACTGGGGCCGTACTGGGGCACGCAGTAGTCCTTGATCTCAGTGGTCACCTTGGCTGCCAGGTCCAAGATCGTCGTCGTGAAGGTGGTCATGTATTCGTTTGGAACGGTGCAGAAAAGGGCGTGGTGTTTCGAATGGTGCGGTCTTAGACTTTCGGCGTGACTGCCAGGAAGTTGGGAACATAAACACTTTGACGAACACATCACATGGAAGTGGAGTTCACGCCCTGTTCGTAAAGGAAAGTGGTCCTTCCCCAGGGACCAGTTTCCATCCACGTAACCATGTTAGTGAGTCTGGGAGTGTAGTGCTTTTTGTTCGATGGTTTTCTTTGGAGGCAGCGCCCCAAATCTGAAACAAAAGCCCAACCTGTTGGTCATCTGGGTCATCGGCTTTCCGATGTGTCGTTGTGAGGCTTTGCTGACGTGTGTTCGGTCGTTCATTAAGCTGAAAATGCCGCAAGAGCCAGGGTCCAACCACTTCAATTAAAGAATTACAGATTCAGATGCGGCGCCTTAAGAAAGTCTGGAAGATCTCCTGCCCCCCACCAGGCATTCCTTTGGTAAAAAGTTCTCAAATGACCATGATACGACCATGTTGAGAGGGCTCACCCAAACAAATAACACCACTATACCTCACCACTATACACCTGAATCATGGCGGATCGTACTGCCTTCCGTTCGCAGGTGCCCGAAACCAACTTGACGAACCCCAGCCCCCATCTCTCCCAGTGGCCGCCATGAAGGGCTCGGCCCGGCCAGTCGCGTTGCCCGCGACCACCGCCAGCTTGGCGGCGTACCTGGGCGTGGCGACGGGGGAACCTGGACTCCAGGAGACCCTTTCTTGTTTTTTCCGGGGGAACCTGAATGACCTCCATTTTGGAGCATCAACTGTCCAAAATAATGGCCGTTTCCTACCACACAGGAGGTCTATATATCAGCGAACAAAGGTCAGTGGACATGGCACATGGATAGGGTGGAAGGAACTTGGCACAAATTCCATCATTTGGTAAGTGGCCCTTGGTCCCTCAATGGGACCCTTGAAAAAGGGCCATAGATGGATGATCGGACTCAGTCGTGTTTTTGCCAAGAGCCTCAAACACTTGACCGTCACGCTTTCCGTGTTGTGTTCTTGTTGGACTCAGAGGTGAAGAAACGGTGCTTTTCCCCCCGGCTGAAACTGTACAGACAAAGAAGGTCCGACAGCATGCGTGTTCCCTTGACATTCCCTCTTTGGAATGGTTTTTGAGATGTTGCACTCCAACAAATAGAATTCACATGAATACTAGGATTATATTCCTCTATAGAATAATCCTAGAATACCGTTTGCACTCATTATATATACCTCCCTGTACTTCCTTCAATACGAGTTCCTTTGTTCCGTCCCAGCACAACCAGTGCAAACACACCCCCAACTCCCCACCCCACACCACACATAAAACAACAGGATTCCCCCCTCCCAGCCTCTCCAATCAATTTCATTCAATTTCAACGTCCAAAGAAAAGAAACCTTCTATTCCCTCACAAAGTGCTTGGGGATGGTCAAATTCACCAAGGGAATGGTCAAGACAGGCCCGAGCTCCGCTGTCTTCTCCACCGTGGCCAAGGTGTCCAGCAAGAAGCCCGCAGAAGAGATGAAATGCAAACCTCTGCACCGCGGTGTTTATGGGCGAGGCGTTGCCATATCTGACCACTTGGCTTGGGATAGTTCACCATCCAACATCTATAACAACAAAGCATACAATGTTACAAGACTCACACCTATTCGGAGCTCTGAACACCCCTGATTCAGGTCAAACCATGTCAAACCCCACATCTATCAGCTGTACCTGGACCATCCAATGCGTGTCCACTTAAGTGGTGTAGGTGTAGGTGTAGTCCATTGGACACCCAGACAGGATGCTGGTCTGTGTGTCACGCATTGTAGATGTGGCATGTCTTTTTCAGGTCGAGAAGCTGTAGTAGTCGATGTCGCTTTCATCCCATGCCCGTGTAATCTTGGCATCTCCCGCCAGCAGCCCCACCTGGTCACGACGCTCGTGCACGGGTCATGCACCGGGTCGTGCACCCGCTCAGCTGGTTGCCCGGGTAGCTCAGTCAGAGGAGTCGGATCCATTCTGCTCATGTTCTACAAGTCAAAGACCTCATTTTAATGAGATGGTCATGCAAAACCAATACTTAAGGAGGTCAAGTCCACCAGGTTTTACTGGGTCAGACTGGACCGACTGGTTAAGGCAGGTAGCCTGCTGCCATCACCCAGACCCATGTTCGTTTGACCTGAACTATAGGACCCGTCACCCGGGGTACCGAACTTGGATAGGTTCTTCAACTGGGACCCATGATCATGCTGTCGATTTTGAAACCAAACATCAACAGCGAAGCAAGACCTGAAAAATCTCAGGCGCCAGCCCAGCCCAGCCGGCGAAAGACTCAGCCCTTCCAGTTCCCTTCCACCGGCGCCCCGACCTCAGGGTCAGTGTCTTCGAAGCTCAAGCCTAGAGGTTTGTGCACCGGCGGTTGTAATCCCCGGTATCTGGAGGCCAGCAACAAGGCGCGTCGCGCATTGATCCGCGCACTCGTCACACTGCTGTTGAGCAGGGCATCCTCGCGCGTGGCGGAGTCCAGGATGATGTCGATGACTTGCGACATGGCCAGGTTGGGACGGTAGAGCCAAATCAAGGCAGCCAGGCCGCTCACATGGGGCGTGGCCATCGAAGTGCCACTCAAGGAGGCATATTTCTGGTTGGGGATCGTGGAGTAGATGGCACTGCCCGGGGCCGCCACGTCGACCGTCTCCTGCGGTGGAGAATCATGCAGCCACTTAAGGAACCTGGACTTCCATAGGCCTAAGGTCTTAGTCTTTGGAACCGGTGGTTACCTGTTAGAGCGGTATATCAGAATGTCACGTCCGTGAACTGGGCAAGGAACAAGGTATCATCAGGTCTCGGTGGACTACTCGGTCGCCTATCGATGGCCATTCATGGCGAACAGCCACCCCGAATCGTCCAACTGATCGAAGCTCTGTTTCAGAATCACCGAACGGATCATGTCACATGATTTTTTTTCACTCCCTGGAAGTTCATTCTAGACCCTTCTTCGCTACCAACCAGGTGTTTGTCCGCTTCCAGGTGAACTTAACTCGAAGAGTAGTTCCAGTACGTCCCCTCTCCGATTCATCCCCGCTCTCTCCTGCCCATAGCACGAGAAGGAGGACAGGCTCCCGGTCTTCGTGGTCGAGGCGATCGAGACCACGTTGCTGGCCGCGTAGTTCGACGGGTAGTGCGGCATCGCGTCGTTGTCGGAGCCCTCGTTCCCCGCGGCGGCGATGAAGAGCACGCCCGCACGCTCGGCGCGCTCGATGGCCACCTGCCGAGCACACGAAGGCAGCAACCGGTCCGGTCGCCGTGGGAAGAGTATCGGCGGCCGCGGCTTGGAGTCATTTAGAGTCCACGTCGCCAAGTTGGAGGTTCAATGAGTTTCGGGATCGTACATGTTAGGGCCCAAAAACATGGCAGGGCTGGGAACATCTCCAAAAAGCAGGAGTCCGGACCGGTTTTTCAAGCCCTATGTGTTCTTTCGGGCTCGAATTCTTATGGATTCTTCATGGGCAACTTATCTTCATTTGTACACATGGATACTGGACTCTCAGCAGGTCAGTCTTGGAAGGCGGTTGTCCAGTTTTCCTATGGCATATCATATGTGGGTGTCGCTTTCGGCGTGGTCACGCGGTCAAGAGGCCCGCATGGCCGAAGAGGAGCCGCCGCCACCCCAGGAGTTGCTGGTGATCTTGGCGCCCATGGCCACGGCATAGTTGAGGCATTTGATGGCCTAAGAATGTGTTTTTTCCAGGTGTTCCTTCATCCAGCGAGTGTTCACTTTTTTCACCAAGTGAAAAAACAACTCTGTTTTTTGGCGTGTTTTAGTCCAACATACTCCAACCAACACCAGCACCATTCTGCCACCGGACCTGCACCACCCGGACCTGCACCACCCAAAAAGACATCCCCACCGTCACATGCCCGTCACATGTGGCTGACTCACTCGACCAAGCCGCATCCGAGGTCCGCCCGCCACCAGTGGCCGAGAGGAACTTCAGCGCCATGAGCTTCACGCCGGACCAGGCCACGCCGGCTACCCCTTCGCCGTTGTTGCCGTGGCCTCGCGGCCGCGCCGAGCGGGGTGGTTTCCTGCCCTGTGAGGGGGGGGCCTTTGTGGTGCTGGCGAGGTGCTTTTTCGGGGTGCTGATGGGAGGAAACGCCCTTATACATCTAATAGATACATCTTGATCGAAGTGTGTAGCCTAGTAGATTATCATCTAAACGCCACCAAGAGTATCATGCACCATCCGCTTGGTGTGCATTCAATACTGATCTTGCACTTCCCACAGCTACGAAGGAAAATATGTCTTCTAAACCCACCCCATTTTAGGTGGTGAGACTGCGTCAACAGCACATGTCGGTTCACTTCTAATTGGTAATTCTACAAATTCTATGTACTTACCATGTACTCATGACATGAGCGACGCCTACCTACGGCTTTCTACTCACCACCCAGACCCACAAGCCGGGGCAACACGAGGGACCACCAACCACCGACCATTTCGTCCAACGAACGTCCGCCTGCGATGGTGCCGGCGCAGTGAGTACCGTGCATCTGATCGTCGAAGGGATCGCCATCGCCGTTCGCGAAGTCTGCGCCGTAGACGTCCTGGGACGGAGACAGGGACCGTGGGACCCACCGCAGCGAGAGGGACACATCGTTCTCGCCGTCGTGGTCGGGTGGTGGGGTGGTTCCTGCCAATAGGACCACTACGTGGACCACTATGTTGGACTCCGAAAAAAGAGACGCTGAAAACCACGGGGGTGGATCTGGGTAGATGAGACTAGTCGGGCTCAGAGGGGGCTCATTGGTGACGGTCCATGTTGGAGCGGGTGGTAAATATGCCTAACCAAACGGAGGAGTCCCCCAAGCATCCCAAAAGAGCGGATGCCAACAAAACACACACAACCAAAAAGCATCCCGCATCCCAAAACAACCAAAGGCCCGAGCATCATCGATGATGCCATTGCCATCATCATCGATCCCATTATCCGGAATCTCATTTGGATTCACCCACATCCGATCTTTCAGATCAGCATGGGTGTAATCGATCCCTGTATCGATCACCGCCACGACGATGCTATTGCTGGGAGGTGCCGGGAAAAACCTCCACGCTTCCGGGGCGTCGATGTCGCGACCACCATAGTGGTTCAGACCCCAAAGCTTCTCAAACTTCTCATCGTTGGGAATCACCTCGTCAGTGCTTCGTCGACCGTCGAACGGTGACGAAGACGTCGAAGCGGACGGCGATGTGAGGCGGTCGATGTGGGAAGAGTATTATATGTTCTGAACATGTTCTGAAATGAAGGTTAACAAGGCAAAGAGCTCAAGGAATGTCAAACAACCAAAAAGCATCAAAAAGCAACTTTACACATCGTTTGGCATACGACCACCTAAGTCTGTGCTGGTATCTTTTTCCGCCCCAGTTGCAGTGTCCCAGCCATGGTTGACAGTGACGTTGAACTTCTCCCAGTCATCAATCTCATCCCGATCGGCTGAGAGCACTCCCCAATCAGGCATCTCGGCAGCCACATACTTGTCAGAAGACCTCGGCACAGAAAGGTCGGCGGGGTACCCACAGGCTAGCGGGGTGGGCGCTTTTGGAGGACATCGGAGTTTGGAAGTCCAGAAATAGTGACGGGGTCCTTTTCTCTTGGAAACCAAAAAGCACACAAACGTGGTGTGGAAAAAGCAATGTCAGTCGGATTCTGGTGCAACTTCAGATTCCACATCCTATCTGAAGGAAGGAGCATCCAACCAACGCTTTCCTGTCGGACACCAACCGGGTAAACAGATGATCCTTCCGCAACACTCGACGCAAACCCACCGACCAACGACTCGCGACCCGGTGCTCGGCAAGTCGAGAGGCTTGCTGCGCAAGGAGACGCTGCCATCCTGGAGATCAGGACGCAAGGAGACACGTCCCATCCGGTTCGTGACGATAACAAGACCGTGGCTGGGGTGTTTTTGGAGAGAAATGGTATGAAATTAGAAAGGCGGTCTGCAGATGTCTGCACAAAACAAATGAGAATCATTCCTTTCAAGTCATCTAAAGTCCATTGCACTAAAGGAATTCCCTCCTCCTTTCTTGAGGGGTGCTAGAAAACTTTTTTAGTGGCTCCGCGCGGTTCCAGATGGCTTCAGTGTCATGTCGTGTCTACCCATGATTCGAGAAAGCTTCCTGAGGTGGGCAGTAGGGCCCTAGATCTGACTTCGGAGGTAATGCCAAGGTCTTCGTCACGGCAAGGTCTTCGTCATGGCCTCTATCCCCCCTAACTAAGCATGGAAGTGGAATGATTGCGGAGGAATCAAGTCAGAGTCTTAAGTCCTTTAAGGTTTTAATGGTTGTCCAGCTTGACACTTGAGTGGAACACACACCCTATGGCTCAACCCATATCATGCGCACCCTCAACCGGTCAACCCATGTATTCACTATAGACTCTAGCCATGTCAGATGGGGTCCTTGTTGTAGATCAGCTTGAACTTCTCGAAGTCGTCGGCCTCCTGTCGCCCCCGATGCCAACTTTCGAGGCGGCCCGGGGGGCTGGCGACCAGGTAAGCTCCATGCTGAGTCTTCAGGGAGACGTAACCATCCGAATGCGGCACCACGTAGAAGCGTGTCTCCCCGCGCCACAGATCAGGGGAGTGGCCGACAGAGCCCCATCGGAAGGCGGAAATGTAGCCGCCATGCCAACTTTGAAGGGAAATGGTACTGAAGCCATGCTCTTCGGTGTGCTTATCCTCTGGTGGGTCGCAACATTCCAGCCAGGCTCCATCACTCGCGGGGCAGCAAGCATGTGTCAATCCCAAGGCTTTACACTTCGGATGGGATGAGCACATCTTGCTTTGGTCCAGCTCTACCCAAGTGTCAGGTACTGCTAGTTCAACTCCATCTTCCGACTGCAGTGCCTCAAGCACCTCATCCTCATCTTCGGGCGACTTGCAAACCACCACGGCCATGTCCAGGCTTGGTAGAGCTTCAGCCTTACTCACTCCTCGAAGATTTTCAAGATGTTTGACACCTTGGTCGACCATGTTCATCCTGAAATTGCAAAGCCTTCAAATTGCACGATCCGTCTTTTTGACATTTCAAGATGATCCCAGACTCCTCAGAACCTTGTCAGACTAAGTCTAAGTCAAGTCAAACAGGGGCTCACTTGAACAACTGGAAAGTGGAATTTCGACACCTGAACCAAAGGTAGGGTTGCTTGGTCTTGTTTAAAGTCGTGTTAAAAGGCTTTGGCCACCTACTCAGCGGACACCTGACCTCTTTTTGCATTTGGAAGGATCCTGGAACCGCAAGACGACCCACGAACCTCAAAACAACCAACCGACCATGGAGTATGGATCTCATACAAACTGAATCCAGGCCATATGTTGGATCTCAGGCAAAATGGAGTATAGTATCTTAGTATACAGCGTTACGTATATATGTATACAGTAGATCTAATGTAATATACCAATGAGATCGAGAACAACGAGAATATAACAAGAATCTACCCGTTTCGACCGGCCAAGCCACGAGATTGAAGAGATTCCGCTTGCGGAGTGGACGTCGCATAGCGGAGGATGATCCGAGATTCGTGCAGGTCCTGCGAGACCGATCTTCTCAAAGAAAACAACCAGCTGGAAAGAAAGGAAAGGACTTGTGCCAAGAAAGATAAACTGTTCCTTTCGCGGTCTTGCTGGGGCCTATTGACCCTGCCGGATGGCCCTGGCCACAAACTCCAGTGGCCCAAAACCGCACCGGATGTTTGAGCTCTTCGATGCGCACCGTCTGTGCTTTGGACCGAATTCCACGGGCCCTGATCCCGAGAAGCGACCGGGATCCGTGGTTCAAAGACAGGCGGGTTGCAGCAAAAAGAGAGCCCCAGGTGCCAAGATGATGTCAAGGATGTCCCAGCGCCCGGTTTGGGTGGTGATTGCATGGAAAAATTCTATATATGACGTCAGGGGGGTCTATCAACCAACAAACGGAAACAAAAAATGAGCAGATACTGCTTGCCTTCAATACAATATCCTTCAATGTTTTGACGCATGGTTTGCTGTTTGCTTGTCAAGGAAAAGGCGTGATGGTCTGTGCTGTTGATGTCCCTAAGAGGACACTTTTGTCTCCAAAACGTTCGAAGATGTTCAATTTCTTGTGTGTTCGACCACATGCGACCATCTTCGGCGACCCTGTCGGCCTTTTGTTGTACTCGGTCCTTCTCTTTCTTGGACTCCAAGCTTTCAAAGGCCCCTCCAAAGGAGACGCCGCAAAAGACCAGAAGAGCCCTCAACAGCGCCCTTCGTCCCATGGCGCGTCTGTTCCGGTTCCGCAGACCACTGGCGGACGAAAAAAAAGATCTACACCTGTCAACTGAAGCCCAAAAAGAGGAAGCCGCAAGCTCAGTACACCACTGTGCATGTCGGTACACCACTGAATACATGCCATGTGGCTCTTCGGAGTCCTCTTTGAAAAAGAAGTTGTATTAATGGCTCTTTGAACAAACATGTTCATGATTGTTATGTGAGCTAATTCATAAATTCATGAAGGCATTTTGATGGCATTTCAAAACCCATGGCCCAATTCCTCAAAACCGGGTTGCTCGTGGTCACCATGTCTGAACCGACCGTCCGATGGGTCTGCGGCCTCCACGGACGTTTTGGACGTGGTAGTTGACCGCCCACTCTGTGAGGTGCGGTGCGGTGGCTTTTGGGAAGTGGAGATGTTTTTCTGCAGGATCCAAGTGCGGCACCCCCTTCGGAACTACATAACTACAGGTAATTACTTATGATTTCATAGATGGTTGGATCGAGCCGCGTCTTTCTCTGGATTTTGTGCATGTCGGCTTGGCACTAAAAACAGTTGGCTGTGGATGCAGGTCCACGAGAATAGCTCCTCTGAGATGCACACGTAATCATACCTAAGATCTTCCAACTATGCAAAATGTCTGCCTTTTGGGCTGGCTTTAGCCATGAATCAGCAGACATGTTGCACAGTTGGAAGATCTCAGGTATCCATCTGATCTGTCTGTGCAACAAGGTCCTCTGCACCACCCCGAGCCACCACTATGCTTCGGCTGCCCACCACACGGCGCCGCTGCCGCCTGTTTTGGGGCGGTGCCGCCTGGCGGCACCTGGACGAGGCGGTGAAGGATCGCAGTGGGAGATCAAGTGACCGGAAAGGTTGAGAAAAGTGGAGAAGTTGATTTAAAAAAATGAACTAAACCAACTGTCCGAAATGATACGTCTTCCTTTTTGCTGGCGACCAAGTCCGGTCCGGTTCCACCGCTACCAGTGCTGCCGACCGTGCCGGTGCGCCGGTGCGCCGAACACCGCGCCTGGCCGGTGCAATCCGACTGTTGCGGTGCCCATGGGCACAGCCGGGCTGGTATCTTCGAGCATTCGATTTGTGAATTGTTCATCGATGTGTGGTGAAGAACCTGCGTGTCTTTGCAGCTTTCATATTCGAGCCAGGGCGCCCGACCAAGGTCGAGCAAGGGAAGCTCCCCGTCGGTTCTGACCGTGTGTAGACTACGAAGACGGTCTTGCGACCTACCCCGCGATATGCACCATGCAGCAGCCCTGAAAAGGGAGCAAATAACAACCACGACGCTTTTCTCTTCAGAATCGAAATGAGCTGCCCCACACATGGCCTCACATGGCCCGGAATGAGCTGCAAACACTCCGCATGTTTGCATCATTCCCATGACGCGTCGTGTGGAAAAAACAGGTCCCAGGTGTCTCCAACAGTCACGAGTTGAGCATAGCCAAGTCACAAAACAAAAGAAACATACACTCTGGAAAACTCGCATGGACCCGAGTCGAATAGCACCCCTTTTAGGCTGTTTTCCTCCAACTCTAGCAGACTCCAGCTGGCACCAGTGGTATCCCCAGCTCATCGAAGGTGCCTTTTGTTCAGGCCAAGAGACTTGTAGGTGCTCCGTGCTCTTGTCCAGCGCATGCAAACCCTGAGAATGTCGAAGCGACACTGTTACAGTGTCACGGTGTTGTTTTTTGTTTTACGGTGTCATGGAAAGCGACGTGCCCTGATCTGAAGTCGAAAGCGAAAGCATGTGGCAGTGGATGCCGTACCATCATGGCACACCATCATGGCAACCGTATATGACTTCCATTGACTTCCAGGATGAGCCCGGATGCAAACAATGAGCCGAAGGAGTCTTGACACAACCGACGATTTTGAGGTACTCCAGCAACAAGTCTCAAAAAAGCTCCGCGGTGGCTTGTGGTGCATGCACTCCTTGAATTCATCATGGCAGTGAAAACCTTTGTTTGTAGAGGAAAAGGATCATCCAAGGGCATATCATATGGTGCACCTACAGTGTGGTGGGTGGATCTCATTCAATTGTCCAGCGAGGTCAAGTACCGTGTGCGTAATACGACCATATACAGTATTATATATATACTATACGACCTACGACATGTGTGAGATTTGTGCACCATCTTTCAAAGGCACAACCCATCATGAATCGAAAGATTGATGGAAGAGGGTTCATAAGGTCCAAATGAATAATACAATATACTAATCTATATTTATATATATAGCTATGAGAATATAGGGTGGGGGGCCTTGCAGACCATTTATAAATATAAAACGGTCCGGGGAACCTACTCAAGGCTATGATTCTAACAATACAGTATTTGTTTCGTTGCAAAACCTTCCATGAAAGCCTTCCAACCCATCTTCCACCGAATGCCTTCAGTCGTTTTCCGGGCATGTTCCAAATGGCCGTCTTTGGTGCGGGGGGCCTGCTGAACCCGTGAGCTACGGACACGGAAGACATCAAGGACCGAAATGTAGATCTTGGTGCCAGGACCTTTTTTGAGTGAGTGACAACACCTCTTCCGGATTGGTCAGTGACCTCTTCGTACGGCCGAGATCGTGACCTTCACTGGGACGGTTCTGGTGTGTAGATCTTCAGTCGCGCTTTTTTAGGCACGTGCCAGGGCCCCCAGTAGTCTTTAGGGTCGGTATTTCTGTTGTAGCTAGGGCATTGAGTTTTTGGGTATTTCTGCTTTATTAGTATTCAATAGATATAATAGTAAATATTTTATTTAGTTAATTTATCTTTAGAGTTTAAAGAACTCTATTATGTTATTCTTTGAATATATACTTAAAGAATAGTTATTTAAGTATACTAGTAGGATGGATTGTATAAAGGATTTACCTGTTGATGTGTTGAGTACAATTGTTTCTTATAAAATTGGAGAACCTGAATATGTGAAAATAGAGCATAGTGAAGCATTGAAGAGAATACAAAACAAATATAAAATATCAAGACTTGGTCCGAAAATAGACAGAAAGATAAGACAAAGAAACAAACAGTATATATAATTTGAGTATTGTATTATGAGAGAGGGAGTGCAGGGAGTGCCATTTAGTTTGAAAAGTATAGGAAACATCATAACAGAAGAAAAATAAGAATTACTATCTTTGATTTATGAAGAAGTAGAAGAATATAGTTTAAATTTTAGAGTTAAACTTGATATTGAAGTCCATATAGTAGCAAAACTCCCAGATAAAGAATATGGAGACAATGAATTTAGTTATAGAGAAGTTTACTTCATGAATGACTTTGATGAATATGTAGATGAAGATAATATAGACGATGTATTGAATAAAGCAGATGAATAAATAAATACCAACGTAGAAGAAGACAAAGATAAAGATAGTATAATAGGAATACAAGCAGTTCATTTTAGATTAATAATTATTGAATATATTTACTACTAACATATTTCTAATAATATTTGTCTATTAGAATTATGGATTTGTAAGATCGGATTATTAAAGGTTAAGGGTTTATCTTTATTGTTGTCTGCCGTTTTGTCTTATATAGTGTTCTTTGCTTGGTGTGTTTTTTTGTGGTTTTTATAGGAATTCTTGGAAAATACATTTAAGAAGATAATGATATTTATATGTATTGGATACATTTTGTAGATACTGTGTTAAAGATTTACCAATTGATAATTTTGAAGATGGATTGAAGACTTGTAAGACATGCTTGGAATACAAGAGAAAGAACTATGACAAACATAAAAAGAAAGTGAATGAAACACGAAGAACTAAGTATAAAGAACATGAAGAATATAGAAAAAAGAAACAGGAACAAATACAAAACTATCGTGATAAAGTTGCCTTTTGTAATGTATGTAATTCATCAATGAAGGCACAATGTTATTCAAGACATTTAAAACAAATAAGCATAAAAGGAATTTAGGAACGGTTGATGGATAGGATTTTGTAAAATGAATAAGGTAATAATGCTCTTGACTGCTATGATGTTGAAAAATTAATGAGGTAAGTATGCTTTGACTGCTATGATTTTGAAAAATTGAATGAGGTAATTGTGCTTTGACTGCTATGATTTTGAAAAATGAATGAGGTAAGTATGCTTTGACTGCTATGATATTGAAAAATTGAATGAGGTAATCATGTTTTGATATTGTTAAGAAAAATGAAGCAATCAAGAATATTTAAACTGACTTTTTTGGACTGTTATGTTGTTTTTGAATAAACTTTGATTTGTTATACTGCTATGATATTAGTTTAGAAAACTTCACTCAATCAACTTTTTTCATTTTTTCCCCGGACCCCCATCTGTCTGAGAGACATCTATGCAGGTGCCAGTGCCATCGAAGCTCTGTAATGATTTGTTCTTGTAGGTGGTTTGGTTCCTTAATGTTCCTTCTGTGTCCTCTACAAAATTCTCCCATCCCACCCAGAAACTCAATGTTCCTCCCAATCACCTCCTCGCTCTCCCTCTCCAACCAAGCAGCATCGGTCAGTCCGCTCCGCGTCTTCTGGATACTGCCCGTGGCCTGGGGTGAAGTCTACCGGCTAACTGCCCAGGTAGCTGGGTGTAGATCGTAGTGAGGGGCAGTCCAGCCAGGACACCCAAATGGTCGGATGGTCCTGGTAAGATAGAAGTATTGTCTATTACTCAAAGGGATCTGTGTTTCATGATCAATCCGAGAGTCTCTGCAGTTTAAAGAAACAGGCTCGCGCCAATCTCATGGTTCAACACCTATCTCCACCTCATCATCTGCATAATAAAAAAAATCTAACACCCTCTCTGCATCTCTCTGCCACACCTGCAACACCTCGCATCCACCATCCGCGGTTAGCCGGTGTTTTCCACTCTCGCCGCGGTTCGCCGCGGTTCGCCGATCCGGGCGGGGGCGAACGGAGGTCTCCTCCCGCCTCTTTGACCGCCTTGTAGTCGTCCTGGAGCTGGGTATCCAGCTTCTCAATGGCCTGGAGAAACGTGGAGTCGGGCGAACAGGGGTTCAAGAGTGAACAAGCCCTTGCAAAACCTCGAAGGCAAACATGGAACGGGTGTGAAAA